CCCCCCCCCCCCCCCCCCCCAAATCAAATCTTTTGAGATTACAGTTTTGTTTACAATAGAAGATAATTATAATTATTTGTCTTTTTTTTTTTTAATATCTGATGTGGTGGGTGGAACAAAAGGCTAAGTCATTTTGATATGGGTATCTTTATGTTATTTTTGGATTTCCTGTCCAAAGTTTCTTGTATCGATGCATCACAAATGAAAAAATTTTGGTTCTAAATAGAACATTTTTGTACTATTATTGTCTATCTATTGTATTTACTGAAGTAACCATTAATAGCTCGATGGACAGAGGATGATACTATTGTTGCCACATGTTTCTGATCAATATACAATTCAAAACATGGGTCATAGATATACTGTTAAATGTGTCTCATATTTATATGCAGATGGGCTATGAGCTCTTTAACTCTAAAAGGAAAACCCTCTGAACATGCTTCTAGCGCTCCTGTAAGCTCTAATGCACCTTTAGCTGCTACAAGTTCAGATTCCATCTCAGGTACATTATATTTCGAGAATTTTCTTTGAAATTATGCAGACTTCTTTAATACTCCTCTGCCACGCTAATATCTGTTTTTGGTGATTGGTGACGGATATTTGATAGAGTGGTGGTCTTTTTGTCTCTCTTCTTTTTTGATAATACACAATGGGAGCTTTCGCTTGTTATAAAATAGGCTGACATTATTGGTGTACTCTATTGAATTTTTTCTCTTGATTTCATTTGAATCTCAGTCATAGCCAGAATGTGCTTGACAAGTTTTTTACCGTTCATTGTAGGACTAGGGAAAGAAAATTACCTACTTTTGAGAGTGGATTATGACTTTGTTATTCTCTGCTATTGAGACTCCAGTTATTTCATGATCATGAAGCATAAAAATTCTAATTATTTAATGTGTTTCTAACACTACTTTTAGGACAATGGATCATTACTTTCAACTACTTTTAGATTTCCCTGTGATATTGCATCTTTTTCTATTATTTGTTTGTATGCAACTGAATTCGTTAATTTCCTATATATTTTTATTTGTTACTAAATACAAATGGGATACAAACACATTTCCACTATATCCGAATTCAAAAATATTTCGCATTTTACTCGTGTTTATATTAGTAGCAAATAAAATGTATATTAGACATACTTCAACTGGTTTAGGCATATATAATCAACTAGAAGGTTTGAAGTTCGAATTTCCACCCCATATATGTTGAACTCGTAGTATACAACATAATTTATTCCTGTCTCTGTGATGCTCTTTTTCTTTAAGAAAAGAGGACAAATTGTAATGTGTATATATTGTAATCATCTTACACCTTGAGAAGTGGTAGAAAATACAGTTCAGTAATGACTGCATATGCTAATAGCATTGACATGTATTTCATAGTGTATTTATGAATTTAAAAGGATATTGCATTTCATAGCCAACATGAGCATCTTAGTGGTTAAGGCATCTGTGAGATCCCACATCGGTTAGCGTGTGGAAACTTCTCCCTAGCAGACGCGTTTTAAAAACCTTGAAGGGAAGCTAGAAAGGGAAAACCCATAGAGGACAATATCTGCTGGCAGTGGGCTTGAGTTATTACAAATGGTATCAGAGCCAAACATCGAGCGATGTGCTAGCGAGGAGGTTGAGTCCCGAAGGGGGTGGACACAAGGCGATGTGCCAGCAAGGACGCTGACCCCAAAGGGGGTGGATTGTGAGATCCCACATCGGTTGGGGAGGAGAACGAAACATTCTTTATTACGGTATGGAAACATCTCCCTAGCAGATGCATTTTAAAAACCTTGAGTGGACCGAAAGGGAAAGCCCAAAGAGGACAATATCTGCTAGTGGTGGACTTGGGCTATTACAGTATCTACTTTTTTAACGTTAGATGTTCAAACATTTGCCTTCACATTTGTCTACTAAGAAAGTGGACTTCATTGATATCAAATAGTTAAATGACTTGGAGCCTAGTAAGTTACGATATCAGTTCTTTCCCCATTTATACTTGCATTATCCTTTAGTTGAAGCAGTTATCAATGATTTTATTACCATGTCAAAATTTAGCATATTCATTTGACCATCAACTTTATTATTTTCATGTTTCTTCCAGTTGAAAATGCTCCAACTATGGCACCTGTAAGGGTAAGCTCGAGCTTTGATTTAACTGAAAACCACGCAACTGAATCGCCAACATCTACTGACGGCTGGGGAGAAGTTGAAAATGGAATTCATGATGAAGATGAAACTGAAAAAGATGGGTGGGATGAGTTAGAACCTCTGGAGGAGCCAAAGCCGTCTCCAGCTCTTGCAAACATTCAGGCTGCTCAAAAACGACCTGTATCTCAACCTGCACAAACAAAACCACCAAGTAATGCCAATTCATTTAGCTTTCTAGGTACTGCTCGGTGGCATATAATAACTCATCTCGGTTCTTTCAGGCTCAAGAAGTACAGCCAGGCCAGCTAAAGACGACGACGATCTGTGGGGTTCCATAGCCGCCCCTGCTCCAAGAACTGTCTCGAAACCATTGAACTTAAAAGCAAGTGGAACTGTTGATGATGATGACCCTTGGGCTGCCATTGCTGCTCCCGCACCAATGACTCGAGCCAAGCCATTGTCGGCTGGTAGGGGGAGAGGAAGCAAACCAGCAGCTCCAAAGTTAGGGGCACAACGGATAAATCGGACATCATCGACTGGTATGTGATTGCATATAGTATAAATCAAAAGAATGATTTGAAGATTGAAGTTGCCTGCAGTTTTTACTTTCCATTGTTTAATAGTCATTGCCTCCTTGAGTTGTATCTTAACCTTGATTTCATACATAGTTTGATCTATAATAGAATTCTTTATACTGCATCTTTCTTTCCCTTTTTTTTTTCTTTTGTTCTTGTGCAAGGAATATGATCTTGAATTGGTCTTGATCCCATAGGGAGACATGTTCATGATGTAATGAACTTTATTCTTTTTAGTGGACTGTCGGAAACCTTCTATTTGATATGTACTTTCTATTTTGAACTTATTTAGATCAAATAAACATTGAAAATCAGATTCAAATTGTATCAGATTGACACGGCTCCAATCTTTTGATTTGTGATGTAAATTCAGTCATTTATTTATCATATTATTGATAGATTTCACATTTAAACATCGACGAAATAAAACGTTGGATAGTCGAGCTTCACTTCAACCTTTTTTTCCGTTAAAATACAGCTCTAGTATGAGTTTATATATATTTTACATTTTATTAACTACCATTCGAACGAAGTCATTCTTATCAAAAGATTGTATACCGATTTAATCTTGATCTTAGGTGAGTTGTGAACTCATGTATGTAAAACGCTGATTTAATCTTGATCTTAAGTGAGTTGAGAACTCATGTATGTAAAATGCATACTTTTTGCTTTGCTTGTGTAAAAATTTTTGTACCCGATTGAATAAGTATACTATTTTGGGAATTTGATCAAATAGAGATTCCGGAACATAAGCTTCAAAACTTGAATCATGAAACTTCACCCTTTCACTAGTTCAAAAATCGTGTACGACTAATTTGTATGTGATAGTTATGCAACTCTAAATTTACAGTAGAATGGTCTAAAATTAATGAACGAAAATCTAACTCACTCCAAGTTATGGACCATAAATAAAATACAAGTATTCCAATTTCTATAATTTAATTAAAAAAATGAATAAATAAAATCAAAATCAAAATTATTTAACCAATAAATAAATAAAATAAAATAAAAAATAATTTAACCAATAAATCAATAAATAAAATAAAAATAATTTAACCAATAGGTTGTTGGACGCAGAACGCTTGTTTGAACCTAGACAGCAACCTCTGTGGCTCTCTGCATCGGCAACCAAAATCCTCCGGAGTTCGAAGGAGAAAGAAGAAGATTGCGAACAAAAATGTCGTCTCTTGCCACATTTCAACTACTACTACCCCCATTTCCCTCCTCCTCCTCCTCTTCTTCTACCAAACCAACCTCTTTTCTTTGTCTTCTCCCCCTCCTCACTTCGCCTCTACAGCGCCGCGCCCACCTTAATCGGAATTCGCAACATTTTCATGGAATTCCACTCGAACACAGATCGAAATCTGGGCGGAAGTTCGGATCCTTCCGCTGCTTCTCGGGTAATTTCTTTATTTTGTCCCTTTCTTCATTTTGTGCTCCGATTGCTCCTCTTCAGTAGGTATTGCAGTTTTTAGGGCTTGTTTATTTATATTGATTGCCATTATCTGATGGAGGTTTGTGACGAAGATGCAGAGTTGACTTTGTGAAATTATGTCTGTTGTTCTGAATTGGATTAGTTTGGAACCGGTTTTTATTAAGAGTGTTGATTGAATTGGTTACTTTTTAGGGGGAGGATATTGATGGAGATTAAGGGGAAGAAATTCAGTTCTCGTGCCTTATGAATTGGGTTTTAGAGCTTGTGAGGATAGAGGTTGGGTTGCTAGTTTATCTTTGATGGATTTTGCTCTCCTAACTAAATGGATGTCATGCGTGCAAGAAGTAGGCATGGACTTTATTGGAGTGTGATTCAAATTTGATTTTGTTGATACTTAAGTCTTTGGAACATTGTTTTTTAATATTAATTTCAGCCAAATGATGCTGATATTTGAAAACTTTGTTCGGTAAAAGTGAAATGCAATTGAAATAACCATGTCATTTTGAATCAAAATGGGTTGGCCTAGAAGTCAATTAGGACTATTGTAAATAATAAAGGGTCAATGGGTATGGTTACCAAGTTTTCTTGACAAACTCTACAATCAGTAGAGTTGAATAGATGTGTTGTGAGAATAGTCAATGTGAGATCCCACATCGTTGGAGAGAGAAACAAAGCCTTCTTTATAAGGGTGTGTAAACCTTTCCCTAGCAAACACGTTTTAAAAACCTTGAGGGGAAGCCCGAAAGGGAAAACCCAGAGAGGACAATATCTGTTAGTGGCGGGCTTAGGCTGTTACCAATGGTATCAGAGCCAGACATTGGGTAATGTGCTAGTGCAGGCTAAGCCTCAAGGAGGATGGACACAAGGTGGTGTGCCATCAAGGACGTTGGGCCCCGAAGGGTGGCGGATTGGGGGATCCCACATTGATTGGAGAAGGGAACGAGTGCCAGCAGGACGTTGGGTCTCAAAAGAGGGTGGATTGTGAGATCTCATATCGGTTGAAGAGGGGAACGAAACATTCTTTATAAGGGTGTGGAAACCTCTCCGTAGCAAATGCGTTTTAAAAACCTTGAGGGGAAGCCCGAAAGGGAAACCCCAGAGAGGACAATATCTTCTAGCGATGGGCTTAGGCTATTATAAATTGCATCAGAGCCAGACACTGGGCAATGTGCTAGTGCGGAGGCTGAGTCTCAAAGGGGGATGGAAACAAGGCGGTGTGCCAGCAAGGACGTTGGGCCCCGAAGGGGGATGGACACAATGCGGTGTGCCAGCAAGAGCGTTGGGCCTCGAAGGGGGTGGATTGGAGGGTCCCACATTGATTAGAGAAAGGAACGAGTGCCAGCGAGGACACTGCGCCTCGAAAAGGGGTGGATTGTGAGATCTCACATCGGTTGGAGAGGGGAACATCCATTTTTTCTGTTCCTACATTCTTTTTTCGTTTTTTTTTTTTCCTAGCGATGGACTTGGGCTGTTTCAGTCAAAATGCAATAAGTTGCATTGGCTACCTCTGATATCTCTGATATGACCTTTTGTTCCTACATTTTTTTTTTGGTAATGCCCTTTTTATATTCTTTTATTTGCTCTAGAATGGGTTTTCCATCTTCTTAAAAAGATCATCCATTGGCATCGTACAAATTTCATGAGGATTTTTAGACGTTCGAATGCTATTCATCTTTGAAAACATGAAAACATAATGCTGTTTTTTGTGTGGCAGCATTATCTCCCGAGCTGAAAACAACAATCGACAAAGTCGTTACATCGGAGAAAGTCGTTCTGTTTATGAAGGGATCAAAAGACTTCCCACAATGTGGATTCTCTCATACGGTAGTACAAATATTGAAGTCCTTAAATGTGCCCTTCGAGACTATAAACATTCTAGAGAACGAACTATTAAGACAAGGACTGAAGGAGTATTCAAGCTGGCCAACCTTTCCTCAGCTGTATATCGATGGAGAGTTCTTTGGTGGTTGTGACATAACAGTTGGTAAGTTTCTGAACATATCCAAGGCTGGATACATTGATATTATCAACACTGAGTATTGAAAACCCTTATTTGAAAAATGAAATATTTAGTTTATTAGTTAAAAAGAGTTCCCATTTCTTGGTTACAGAAGCATACAAAAGTGGAGAATTGCTAGAAGTGTTGGAGAAGGCCATGTGTTCTTGAAGGCCGTTGAAAGGTAAGGTTTGGCAATGCTTCTTGACTTATTTTTTAGTGATGGAAATATGTATATCAATATGACATTTATGTTACTCAAGGCTTTATGACAAAAGTTAAGGTTTGTTTTAATGTTTACTTGGTTAACTAAGAAAGGGTTGAAAGGAAAAAGAAATGAAGTTTGAACTTTAAGAACCCAAGATTTTATTCATACACGATCCTCTAGTTTTAGTCCTCTCATCATCTGAATCCCGAAAGGTAGAGCATAGCCTTGGTCCTCTAATCATCTGTTTCTCGAAAGTCAGAACGTAAGAACATCAGATTTTATTCAAGAAAATTAGCTACACGATCATCTAGCCTTGGTCCTCTCATCATCTGTTTCTCGAAAGGTAGAACGTAAAAACTTAAGAGTTTATTCAAATTAGCTACACGATCATCTAGTCTGGGTCCTCATCATCTGATTTCTGAAAGGAAAAATTTAAGAACTTAAGATTTTATCAAGAAAATTAGCTATATGATCATCTAGTCTTGGTCCTCTCATCATCTAATTCCAAGGAGAATGGAGGAACCAACGGGGAATAAATGATACCATCTTACTGTTAACATTCTGTGCGAACTCCATCTTACTGTTAACATTCTGTGCGTACTCCAGCAAGAGCGCAACAAGAAGTTCCAGAATTTAACCCTCTGAAAGCTCCAATAGCATGCGTTGAACTGTTTTATAAGCCATTACTATTTTTAGTTGCAATTTTAGTGATAATTCATACGATTATATGATGGTCACGTTCAATTTCCCTAAACTTTCAAATGGTTTTTATTAAAAACTTAATTACTAGTTTACATAAATTTATGAAAACCAATCTAAAAGTGAGTAAACCGATCAAAATAGTAAGAATGGTTTGATGTACTGAATAAGCCACGTTATTCCCTATATGCCTTTTCGGTCATCATTTGCGACACAACCAACTAACTTTTACATTAAGCAAAGTCATTCGGCTCCACCTTGCCTTTATTTGGGGTTAAGTTCTCTCATGTTCAACGCCCGCATCTCATCGTCATTTTAGTTCCCAACAACACAACCTATGCATCAAGATGTCATTCATGGGACAGCTTGGTCATCTTAGCTTGCTCGAATACATCCATTGAAAATTGACCCATGTGTCAACTATCTCATTGGAACATCCCGAACATCCATCCATTCATTCAAGTTCTCATTAGGCATTAGACTCTCATGTGTCCATGCTAGACCATTTACGACATTCGTTCTAAATAGAAACACTAAAAGAATATTTACTCCATTGACATATTTTTGTTAAACCCCTTAAAACATGAGAGTTGTCACCATAATTTCTTTTAGGAAGTCTTCTTGCATTTACCTGAAAAATATACCAGCCTTTTCTAAGAAGCCTATGAGGACTTGAATTAGCTTTAGTCTCCAAGAAGGTAAGATGTAATATTGAACAAAAAACAACTCCAGATACAGAAATACATCTTCCTTCATCAGTACATGTTCTACTCGTGGAACAAACAAATATCAACAATATTACAACAGAGTAAAGTACATTGGCAAGATCTCTCTCGGCTATCCGAGCACGTACGAAGAACGAACTATATAAACAAGAGTACTACAACACAATGTGGTATCAGTAATCCTACATGCTAGGAATCATATACTGGCAAAACTATATGAAAAGAGTGGATGAACAAAAAAAAACTGGCAACAAAGTATCTATGGACTAACCTCTCAAGACATTGTGTGTTCAACTGTCGGAATACCATGGTTGCGGAGTTCTACAAGGAGGTATGCTGAAAGATGCTGACGGGGAGAATCTTGACAGAGGTTACTGAAGTTTGGCTTACTAAATATACACGTGTTCGACGTTGGGCACTCGGTTTATGGCGTGGACTTGGTTGCTAAAGCACGAACCTCGGATTGAGTTGACAATAGCTTTTCTCTAAGAAATACATTATACTCGTACAAACTTTTCATACTCCTCAAGATATCGGACATACCGATATCAGAACTATCTTTAAAGTCTGCATTTGAAAATCCAGAAACAACTTTGAGCATAGGCATTCAAACAAAGAAATCATTCACAAATCCAATGTAAATTAGCACTTTTCATCAATTAGTTATTGTGATGAAAACATGTTCCAAGACTAATCGTTATGTTCTTGACAGAAAAAACAGATATCATTCTTAAAGAAGAAGCAACAGTTACCTATTGAGGGCGGTGGTGGAATAATATCTTCAGGATGAGAAAAATCTCCCTTGAATGGAACAGTTAAACGTTGCTTCCCCTCATGGGTAGAACCAAGTACCTGATGGTGCAGAGGCTGGGATGGAGAGAACATGAACATTGGATGAGGAATGGTTCAACATTGAAGTTCCAATAATTTGATAATGGTTATTAAATCATTGTCTGTAACTTTGTCCTTATGTTGCTAAGGTAGCAGATTATCACCAAAAGGAGGTTTTTTCATAATTTTTATAGTTCTCGTGTTCATTATGCTTCTGTTTTTGGCCCACTGAAAACGATCTGACCTATGGGGTGTTAACTCTTTGAGGACGGCTAAGAATGTCTCTTAAAAGGAGCGGATGGGGTCTTTTCAAGCACAAATAGAACGAGATAAAGGGGGTATGCAACCTAGAGAGATGGCCATATCTCTTTTCTGAATGTAGTATCGAGGTTCAATTCATTTGAAAAAGAGGTCAGGAGACCGTGCGAATGGTTGAATTGATGACTTCACTTTGACCTCTTAGTAGCTTAAGATTTTCAGATTCATATAGTAACTTAACATGTAGCCTAAACAATTCAACGAATTATAAACATGAATTCGAAGCAGATAGATTAGAATTGCATAGTCGAAATTTTCATGCTAAATACAACAGCGAAACTCACTCGCTCTTGCTTGGTTGCTATCGTTCTCATTTCACGGTCAGTAGCTGTCGCCTTCGGAGATATCATATCATGCTTAGCAGTCTGCATATGATAAGTCTAATCAATTTGGAATTGGGAGCGATGGGGACTTGAAGGGAAGTGTCAGAAAATAAATTAGCTCATGTAAAGAATACAACAAGAACATTACCTCCTTGGTATATCCATTTACATCTACGTGAAAGCTGATAGCAGTACTACTTCCACTCCTTAACCCTCTCGGGCGCGACGATCCATTCTTACGACTTGATGGACCAATGCAGTTGGTGCAACTAGACCCTTTTGATGGATCACTATAATCATTATCCAGTGCACTGTAGCCCCATGTATACATTACATATTTCCTCAACTAGAAAATAAAATAAGTCAGTTCACCCATCATAGTTCATGAGGTTTAGTTCCAGTTAAGACTCTCGTAACCCGCCCCAAAATTACCGTTCGCCGTTCGCCCACCAATACCACCTTACACAGAGAGACAACCTCCCTAGAGACAGAATGAGGGGGACATATATGTTTTGTTTTAGGGGGGGCTTAAAAATCTAGTAGTCAAGCGAGGTAACCCTTTCGAATTAAACTAATTTCCCTCATTTAAAGCAATAGAGAACAGGAAAAGTAAATAATATCAATTGACTGATATCTCAATGAGAGAAAAAGAGGAAGAAAAAACACCTTATTCCAATGTTCTTGTGCTTTTCTTCGATTTCTAACTTTAAGCATAACACTGTCTTCATTGCGGAGCTTTTTAACTCTGTACTCGAGCTACAAAACAAACCAAGTTAGTTTAGTGAAACAATCACTCGAACTCGAAGAAAGAAGTGATAATCGGTTTCAGTGTCAAGTTAGTTGGTTGTTTCGCATAGAATTTTCTTTTCATTTCAAATTAAATCAATATCAATGTCAGATGCTATGATGACAACTTATAACAGGTGTTGTATCATATATAAACATAACCCAATGCTATGTGACACTAGTTCTTGCAAAGTAAGAAACTGGAAGAGGAAAGTTATGATGTCATAAGAAGTTTTAGTTCTTATTTACAAGCTTCAGTTTCAGTTTTTGGGTAAAAGCCTTACCTGCACCAGAAGGTAGAAGAAAATGCTAAAAGTAATGCAATACAGACCACCAAGATCTGCAAGAAAGCTAACTGCATAGCAAAGAAATTGTAGGACCATCACAAAGTTAGTCAAATGCCATTATAAACATTAGTTACAAGATAAGATCTATTGGATGCATAACTTAGTGAATCTTTAACGAACCATTTACATTTAAACAGATCGATACGAGAATCTAGACATATTCATTCAAAAAAGAGTCATCTTCAGAGGAAAAGAAGCATGGACACATGTATGACACACAGAGGAAAAGGAGGAAGAACAAGCTCATTCAAGCGCTCGTTGGGAGATCTAAAGACCTATGAGCCAAGACACAAGTTAGTAGTGTTGTCAACGGGGCGAGGCAGGAGATACATTCCTCATCCCCATCCACACGGGATTTTAATCACTTTTGAGGGTTGAAGCGGGCTTGGGGATTCCCCTAGGGGAAAATTTATGAAATAATTAACCCTCCCTGGAAAGAACGAGTTTTGTCGAGTTAACGTACTAGGGTAGCCATCCAAGTTACTAGAATCCAATCTGCTTTTCCCATACATCTCATGCTATCCAGACTATGAAATGACATTATTTCAGTGATATAATAAGGTATCTAGTGGCATACGTAACCAAATATATTAGTGGAATAGTACGATTGCAAGAGATTACCCAATCCCGGATAGTTTATTGTGGTAAGTAATGAGCACGAATAATTTCGGTAATACAGTAAGAACTAAATGGAAAATTTTAATAAAAGAAGAGGTGGCAATCAGGCTGTTCATGTAATATTTAGAACAATATTGAGGTAGATACAACATCTGAATGAACAACCATCCTTATCTCAAGATCCAAACAATTCAGTTTATTTGTGCAAACATACATAAAGAAGCATGTAAAGGAGGGTGTGTACATGTGAATGAAGCAAAACACTTACCAGGACCGAAAATATTTTGACGCTCTACCTCGACAATGTACGAAGAGAGAAGATTGATGTACAAGGTGATGTTGAGTAGTCCCTCATTGGCATTTTCAAGGGATAATTGGAGCTCATTGGTATTCTGAAAGGATGAACCTGATACAAACTCATGAAATAAAGGCTGCATGAGCTTGGAATCCTGGTTATTACGGAATATTCGTGGAAATAGGTTAAATTGCACGATATTTGCATTCTTCCCTCTGAATGTAACTGGTGTATCATCCAAATTGCTTCTATTTTTTAATGTTCCACTAACAAAACTTTCCTGATTCTTTTGAACATGATCCTTAGAAGAGAAGTTAAACTGAAATCCAACAGCACTTGCCGGGTTATTTGGAAGATCGATAAACTGCCATGAGATATAAATATCATCCTGAATGAAACGACATTTTTCGCACTTAACGCTTATAGTTGGCCCTTCACTCCTGTTTTGACAAGAGAAGTTTGCAAAATTTGACAGAGGCATTACTTTCTGTGCCAGAAAACCAGGGTTTCCGAACACAATAGTATCAAGACCACGTATATTTGAACAACTCATAGTTGAGACTGTCGTTATATTGAATTCCATGTCATTCACAAAGGAAACCAAGTCTGGTGCATTTGCGGCTTTCATGTTATGCACTTCGATGCTTCTCTTAGATATGATTTGGTAAAGCAACCTGAGAAAGAACTGAAAGACCAAGTCAATATGAAACGAACATGGGAGAATTGATTTTAGTACATGACAGATGAAAAAATAAATAAAATTAGTACTTACGCAGCGAACAAGCCAGAGAAGACTATCCAACTTGCCATTGAGAATGTTCCACCAAGTTCCGTTTTACGTTTTGTGACTACCTTTTGGTCATCCTTCAACACAGATAAGGTTGCAAGCTAATTAATAAAAAGAAAGAACATTTATGCATAGGACTTTCCACTCCAAAAAGACAAAAAGTATGCAAGTCCAAAACGAAACCTCAGATAATAGGTTATGCGCTGCTGTTAAAATCACAAACAAAAGGGAAAGAAACAGAGCCGATATTCAAGGAGACTCATAAAATGCATCGAGTTCTTAATAGTTAAGCTCGAGCCGATATTCAAATATAAAATGCATCGAGCCGATATTCAAGGTTATGCGCTGCTGATAAAATGCATCGAGTTCTTAACAGCTAAGCTCAATGAAATATTATCACAATCCCCCGCAGTGACTTCTAATTCTCCCACCAGAATAACCTCCCTAAAAATCTCTTTGGGAACAGCTACTATGCCAGCAGTTTAAAACAGAACCTAAAAGGACAATTGTTTCAGTGAATGTTTGTACGGATTTTCTTGACGTGGTACAGAAAGGACTGTGGTCAAATTTGGATGAGTAGGATCCTTTTTTTCTCTCTCTCTCATTTTATAAGAGACAATTTCATAGCAATGTGAATGTACAAAAGAATGGGAAAACCCCAATCCAAAGAAAGTCACAAAAAAAAACCCCTGGATTGTAAAGAGGTAACGCTATAGTAAGAAGGATGAGAGAACATTTACAACAGGGAACCATAAAGAAAACTATAGCATAAAAAAAACGAATGAAAGGAGATTCTTCGTCCTCGAACACCTGCTGATTTCTTTGCTCACACACTTCCCAAAAGAAGGCTCTTATAAAGGTCAGCCAAAGGATTTTCTTTTCTCTTTTTTGAAAGGATGGCCTTAAGCACATGAGAGAGAAAACCAAGAGGGTTATTTGGGAGGGACATGTTCAACCAAAGGAAGAAAGGATGAGGCTCCAAACACCTGTCGCGAATTCACAGGAGAGGAAGATTAGGCTTTGGGATTATGTACTATTTTTACAGAGGAGGCACCATTTGGGAGACAGAGCCATGTAAGGCATTCTCCTTTGAAGGTTATCTTTTGTGTTTCGTGCTCGGTGACTGAGTTCCCAAAGAAAAAACTTAAGAGAGGAAGATTAGGCTTTGGGATTATGTACTATTTTTACAAAGGGGGCACTTTTGTGTTTCGTGCTCGGTGACTGAGTTCCCATAGAAAACACTTAACCTTTTTTCGGATAGGAGTCTTCCCAAAAACTTTATCTTATCTTCACTTGCTGATGTACAAAGAATCTATGTTTCCAAACGCAAGAGGACGAGCTCATGAAAGAGTAAAATCTTCAAGAGGATTAAGACAAGAAGAACCTTTGCGTCCTTTTATTCTGGTTCCAATTTTGGATGTGCAAATCTGAATTCTCAAAATCATTAGAGAACTGTGAGAGTACTAATTAGGGGTATATGGGTAAGATTAGTATGATATTAGTAAGGGAATAGTGGTCATTAGCTAGGGGTGCCTTGGTTATAAATAGAGCGTTTGACGTTGTAACGGCTTGTGATATTACAATATAGTTCAATATATAGTTCTATACTTGGTAAGTGGTATTCTAATAAGTATCTGGTTATTAAGGCTTTACTAAAGGTGATAGAGCCCATGTGAATTACCTCTAATTTGCTAATGATACTCCCATTTTTAGTGACTATGAAGGGGCAAAGGCTGAAAATAAACCTCTCTAAATCAATTATGGTATCAACTGTGATGAACTTGAGGAAGAAACCTTAGCAATATATCTTAGTTGTACAAGAGGTAGCCAGCCTTTGTCCTATTTTGATATGCCTTTAGAGAGAAATCTAACAAGTGAAGAGATGGTAGAGTTTGCTGGCTGGACCTTCCTTTTCTACATTCACCTTGAAAAGAATGCTAGGGAGAGGTTTCCACACCCTTATAAAGAATGCTTCGTTTTCCTCTCCAACCGATGTGGGATCTCACAATTCATCCCCCTTCAAAGCCCAACGTCCTCGCTGGCACTCGTTCCCTTCTCCAATCGATGTAGGACCCCCCCAATCCACCCCCCTTCGGGGCTCAGCCTCCTCACTGGCATATTGCCTGATGTCAGGCTCTGATACCATTTGTAATGGCCCAAACTCACCGTTAGTAAATATTGTCCTCTTTGGGCTTTCCCTTTCGGGCTTCCCTCAAGGTTTTTAAAACACGTCTGCTAGGGAAAAGTTTCCACACCCTTATAAAGAATCTTTGTTCTCCAACCGACGTGGGATCTCACACAACACTTCCTAAATTGTTTGTTGTCTACAATGCTGCAAAATAATTTGTTCAACAGATTCAACAATGACGTCCCAATCACTTAAAGGTGTCCCCTAACGAGTCTCTTGTGGCCTCAAGTTAAAGAAGAACCAGAACTTATTGGAAAAACGCTACCATAACTAACTTTGGGAACCCCGGGAAAAGTAAAATAAGCTTCAAACTGGTATTATCCGAAAAGGTACTTTCTTAATACTTTCCCCTTTTTCTCATCCATACAAATTGGAGGTTTGTAAAGGAGTTCCTTCTCCCTTATTGCATTTTTAACATCAATAGATATCTTGATCGTCCATAGTGTTCGATTGTCAGCTCTTTTCAGCTCACCTGGTTCAGACATAGATTACTGAAACTTTATGAGTGCCATAGCAGAATTCATGAATAACTATGAACTTCATCAGACTTAGTAACGTACATTAATGCCAGTGAATCCAAGAAGCTCACAATTAATACTTCGCAAACCAAAAGCCATAAAGTTTAAACAAAACCGCCATAATTACAGCCATACGTAACCAAAGCAAAGCCATTAACTTCCATGAAATGTTGAGAAAAAAAAACTATATAACCCATCAAACTAGTGTAAATTTCTAGAAGATAGAGCTAAGAGCTAACCAGCCAATGTCTTGTAGAAAAGCAAACATCCAGTCTGCTAACCCACCATCTCATCCTGAACCAGATATTTCTGCCATCCTCAAGCTTCATAAATCTAAGGAATATGCAGAAAAAGAGCCAACAAAGCAGCATGACCAGAGTAGCCTTAAGAAACACAGCCTGAGACTGCGTGATCTTCCTGATGGAATCAAAGGCGAATATGGTCTCTGGGAAACTAACAGCAGAGTTCTCGAGCCGGCCTGTAGTAATGGCCGAAGTACCGCTGAAAACAACACAGCTGTTGCTGGTTCGATTGAGAAGCTGCCCTGGTGGGCATGCACAGAGGCTTCCATTGTAGCGGAAGCTATTGCTTGGACATGACATTCGCGATCCTTTACAACAACCCAGAAATTTAACCTCGAGAAGCTGAAATGGGATGTGGGGTTTCTGAATATCAATGCACCCCAACACTTCGATCACAACTCTAGTTCTCGATCATTGAGCCTACAACACGATACAGCTAACTTCCGAATTGGGGTAGTTTTGATTTTCATGGATAATCATGGAACAATGATAACAATGGAGGAAACTAAAAACCCATCAAGCAAACGGGAAGAACACGTCTAATTCACCACAGATTAAACCAGGAATTGGGTTATTGGTTGAATCAAGAAACACCTAAACAAAATCTGTAAAGGGTTTCCAGATTTTTAACTCACCCTTTCCTTGATTTACCCAAACGTGGGCGAGAATCTACGAGCTGTGGAGGGCAATGGGAGAGAAAAGGGATAACAAATTAGTGGCCGCCTCGTGGGGTTTCTGGAAAAATCGTAATGGAATTGGATTACCTTTTGAATTTCTTTTTACCTTTTTCTCCCGTTTGATTCTGAATTGTTTTGGAGAATGTGGGTCGAAGTTATGAGCCGGTGAAGAAACGAATTGGGAGGGAAATAGAAAGAGGATCATGTTGTGAGTTGTATTTTGTTCCTCCGTGAACAACGGTCAATTCTTTCTATCATTCAAACCCAAATAAGAGCACGGCTAATTGAATCGACATTGGAAGCTGCGCGCTCTCATGGCCATCTCCTCTCCATCTAAATTTTCAACAATGGTTCAAATTGTTGGTCATTTTCAACGATGTGTACGTTTGAATTCTACATTTGTCGATTCATTATCCTTCCCACTCTTTTTTTTTAAGGAATAAATTAATAAAAATGCTCGTAATTTAAATACATCACTATATTTCTCATTTATAAACTCATGATCTTCCACTCAATTAGCCAACGTGGGAGTCCCAATAATCCTCAACCGTTCATTCCTCACTTATAAACTCATGATCTTCCACTAAATAATCCTCAAACAGTTAGAAGTATTTTTTAAACAAAATATTAACTTTTTCCCTTCCAAACTAATCGGTAAAGGTACTTTTTTAAATTAAAAGTATTTTTTAAACTCATTTAAAAATATAAGGATATTATTAAAAAAATTAAAAGTTTAAATTTTTTTTAAGAGAAAGTAAAGATTTGAAGTGTATTTTTATTAATTTAGTCTTTTTCAAACGCACAACAACGGTGTATGAAATTTTTTAATTAAGATTGAATTTGATTTTAATTTGTTAATAGATGCTTTTGTTGCACGTCGAAAGCGAAACAAATGTACTCACAACACCAATGAACGAAATTACACCAAGATATTTACGTCGTTCGGAGAGAAGAAATTCCCTACATCCACGGGTAGCAGCAACCAATCACTAATAAACAAGTGTTACAAGTGAATACCTCACTATCACACTACAAAAACTCCCACCAATACGTCATTCAACAACAACAAATACAATGTGACACCCAAAACTCTCCCAAATCCCGATATCAAATTCTGGTATCAAATCCCGATATATAATTGATATGACTAAATTTAAATCAAATCTAATCCAAATAACTAAATCAAATCAAAACTTACGACAATTTTACGCCAGCTTTAACTAAATTAGACCATATATTATTAAATAAAGCATTATCATTTTAAAATGGATATTAAATTCTTCCATATAATTTAATATATATATATATATGAAATTGTCAACTTCATTAACTTACATTTATGAATATTTATTTTGATGATGAATATTTATTTTGATGATGAATATTAGCTGTAGATATCATTCACTAACTTTAGATATGAGTGAGAATCAAACGTCAAGAATCGACTTATTAATTTGGGTATATATGTTGGTCAATATCGGTTTTGCACATAGCTTGTAACGACTCTAAATTTCTACTAATATAAAGTTGCTACCATCTTTATAACATAATCTTTTATAAGAAAATAAATATTATATACATGTTCGTAAAACAATGTCATGAACTTGAATGTTTAAAAAAAAAATGTCTTTAAAGTAACGTAAATGAAATATTAAATAAAAATAAAGTAAATAATAAAATTGACAATGCCCTGTACTAACCTAATGTCTAAGAATTTAAATAGAATTATCCTATGCATATATCATGGTATTTGCTTTTGATATTATCGTCAGTCGTATAGGGTACCTTGCCTTTATCTGAAAAAAATAGAAGTAGCACACGGTTTGAGTATTTTAAGAAATACTCAGTATGCGACCTCGCTATTGAAGTTAGGGAATGCAAACACATGCAACTCATGATTAAAGACCTATCGTTAAAATCATGATAAAGGTAACCTCTAGTCCAAACAAATTGAATGTGTAATACTTCCCTACACACAACCCACGCGTGCAAGTGTGAGTTCACTAGGCAGTTTCGTACATCCCATGGACCCATCATAATCAGGCTAGTTGTCTATAATTGAACGTCTGGAGGTCAGCAAGACCTCGAATATCATGCAAGGCACGATCATCATCATAGTATGCGCGTTCGTACTCATTATCATAAATGGAGAAGTAACATTATGTAAATGAATACACAATATGCATGAGAACCCTATAATTTTCATCTTAAATTATTCTTATGACACAACCATATATATTGTTCACATATTATCCTAGGTAACATGCATGCACTAACCTTCGTACATTTGTCATCACTAACATTATTTAGAGTTGTGTCTCATAAAACTCTTCATCGTAATGCAAAATGAAATCTTATACATGCACATCATCTTAGTATGAAATAACATCATATTGAGTCATATCGCATCATCATCATCATATAACATCGGATCATACTAACTTATATCATCACTGTCATAGTAATTTTTTTTTTTTAATTTTTTTTTGTAAGAAGGTAGAAAGTTTAGGTACATATATAGATACATACATATATAGATATATATATGGGTAAACACGCCTAAAGTGTTTTCTCTTAATAAAAAGGAAATTGCGGAATAAGAGTCCACGACGGCTGTGATAAGTATGGTGGAGTCCATGTCTCCACGAAAGTTCATAAAAGTTCGAAGTTTTGCTCTAAATTTTCAGACAACGACGCACATACTGCGACCCTCCGCTTCAAGGAACCTCCAAATCTCTCGGAAACGCATACCAAATCCTCTCCAAGGAATCATCCCTCACATTTCAGCTCTTCGATCATATTTCTCGGCTTTCAGCTTTGATGGTAGCAGCTCTTCGAGCTTCTGGTTCTTTTTTCTTTTGTCTTTGTGTCCTCCTGTCGTAGTTCTTTCCGTTTTAAACGAATTTTGTTTCTTTAGCTACCCTTTACCGTTTTGTTCGGTATTCAATCACTTGGTATGTGTTTAGTCAGTTGCCCAATTCGAACTGAGTGTGTGTGCATGTTGGGGAGTTTGGACTGTGCTTTGTTTTGGTTATTCTTCGGTGTTTTTTTTTTTCTTTTATCGTAGTGGATGATTAGATTGTTGATTTTGTTTTTTTAGCTTTTCCTTAATTTGTGCCTTTTCGCTTGTTACTTACCCAATTGGCCGAATTCAGTTTCTTCTAGGTACCCGTTATCGTTTTGTTTGGTAATCAATCACTTGTTGTGCGATTCGTCATCAGCCTAAATTGAACCGAGTGTGTCCGTGTGGTTCTGTTACATGTATGTGAGTTTGGAGTGTGCATAGTTTGGTTGATCTTTGATGTTTTTCTGTCGTAGTATATGTGTAGATTGTTCATTTTATTTTCCATTGTCTTTTACTCTTTCCTTAATGTGTGTCCTTTTGCTTTTATCTATTCCCGTTAGACCGGATTGGGTTTCTTGTGTTTTGCAGTTATTGCTTCATATGGTGTTTGTAATGGTTTTATTCAGTAATGAATCACTTTATGCATCATGTCTTTGTGTCCATCACATGTATGGGAGTGTGGATTATGCATATGATATTAGATGTTTGTCTATAGTTGTAGATGAGTTGTTTGTTCATTTTTTTCCATTTCCTTTTACCTTTTGCCTTTTAGTTGATGTGTGGGATCCAACATCGTTTGGAGAGGAGAACGAAATATTCTTTACAAGGGTGTGGAAACCTCCTCCTGGCAGACGCGTTTTAAAAACCTTGAGAGGAAGCCCGAAAGGGAAAGCTCAAAGAGGACAATGTCTGCTAATAGTGGGCTTGGGCTGTTACATGATGTGTACGTGTTCCCTTAAAGAGTGGATAAAAATGGTGTTAGAGGTTGTGGTTCTAATGTTTTGTAATTGTATTGTGCAAATGGGACCGAGTGTGTGAAAGATGATGTGTTAAACGAAATGAATGAGGGAAGTCTCTTTTGCGGTCTTTTGAAACGTTTGGGTTTTGAGAAATAAGAGAGCTTTAGTAGTGCTGTAGAGATGTGAAGAGTTCATGAGAAGTTTGAGCCCTGGGTAGGTTTAATGCCTCTTAGTTTGTGTTTATACAAATCTCTGATTCTTAACAACAGAAGCCTTTTATGCAATGATCCATCTTCTTTAAGTTCGTGGATGAGTCGATGATCATTGGAGCTCTTTTCTACACGTGCTGGCTTAATTTTGTTTCTTTTATTGGGTATCTTGTTGGTTTCTTGGCCTTTTTTTAATTTTATTTCTATGAGTTAGGTAGGATAGTGTCACTGTGTAAGTCTGTTCCTCAGGTGTCATAGCTGTTTCTTTTGTTTCTTTTTGGGGATGGTTCTGTTATTCTGTTTGTATGAATGGATGTGAGACTTATATGTTGGTTTCATTAGCAATAGGACTTCGTTTCTCCGTAGAAAATTGAAGCATTTTTGTTAGCTTTTTTCACGAGCAATAGGACTTCGTTTAAAGCTTGCTACATGACTCTCAGAGTGCCGCTGCGACAGTGTATGTATGTTGGGGACTTTTTTCTCCGTAGAAATTTTATTGATAGATTGGGGTTACTTATCTGGGTTTACTTCACACATTCTTTCAGGCTATGCTTATTTTGCTATCTTTGTAAGCTTTCAAATTTCAAATGTCAATGAGAAGTTCTGTCTCTTGTTTGAAAACATTATGGAATATGGATCCTTTGTTGTGATATGGTAATGTAATTTTTTTTTATTATCTCTTATTTATTTAGTTTTATCTTTCCAGGGGTTAAATACTTCCATACCATCCCATTTAGTTTAGTATATTCAATCAACAATTTAATTCGTCATTGATTAGGATTATGTTGTGAAGGTTATAATATTGGTAGAACTGTAAAATTTGAAACCTCAGGTAATTTCCTTTCTGTTTTTGGACAGGATGTTTGTTGGGTTGTTCTTTCATTGATCACAGACTGAACAAATTCTGTGGTTTGATTGAATGTGTGGCCTTTGATTTCCACATAAGTAATCAAATTTATAGTATGCAGAAATGGCTTTAAGAGCGATATTGGTTAAGAGAAGGCACCGTTTCAGCTCTGAGAATCTGTCTACCAGCTTATATCTAAGGTTCTCCAGATTTGAACATGAGCAAGCATCTCAAGCTGATGATTTACAGAGGTTGGGCTGCATTTCCCATCCTCCACCTGTAGCTATTGATAGACGATGCGAAGGTGGCTTATCTTTAGTTGTTAGAAAGGAGTTTTTATCCTTCCCAGTTGCAGAATATTTTCGAAGTAATCTTCTAAAACCTCAAAATTTTGGTCATGGAATTGGAAGAGGAGTGTCAGCTTCCTGTATGGGTGTTAGAAATGTTGTACAACTTTCACATTATTCTACGACGGCC